CCTCTCACCTCCATACACATGGGGCATGCATGTGCACACAAACACATACAAATGTACACCAATAAATGTAATTCAAATTTTTTTAAAATTCCTGAACAGCCTCTCACTGCTCTATGACATCACAAAAACAACCGTATGGCTTATAACAACATCCGGTTGTATATAACTGTGAGAAGGACCACAGGGCTACATAGACAAGAGGAATCCTGAAGGCAGAGACAGCAGCCTGGCTGGCCCAGGAAAGGGTGGGGCTGCTTTCCCACATAACTGTCTCCTCCATATAACTGTGAGAAGGGCCACAGGGCTACATAGACAAGAGGAATCCTGAAGGCAGAGACAGCAGCCCTGGCTGGCCCAGGAAAGGGTGGGGCTGCTTTCCCACATAACTGTCTCCTCTGTCATGGCACCTTTATGTTCAGGAGCTGACAGCCCACCTCCATCTCCCAATGACACACAAGTCACCACAACTGCCAGAGCTCAATAACAATTGTGAAAATTAAAAAGTGTATGTAGTTCAAATACAGAAAACATAAACTGGCTTTAAAAATAAGATTCAACTCTATCCCATTACCGTTTGCTGACTCTGTTATACTTCAAGTCTGACCTCAGAAACCTACCTCTTTTGATTTTTCCTCTCTGGTAAATCTTCCAAACTTTTCTATCATTTCAGCCACAAATATAACATCCATTTTGTCAGAAAAGTTGGCTGCCTCCACAGTATAAGCCAGCAGCTGCCGAGCTGTTGCCACAGCATTTGTGAGATTGAGGGGCATCTACGGACAAAAGGAAACAGAACACTTTAGAAAATGTGTAACAAAATGCTGACTTTCTAACTGCATTTCAAAACATGGCAATGAATTAAAACTAAAATCATCATCAAATGGTTTTTCAAGCCCAAGAAAATTAGATTTTGATGGAAACTGCCATGAGAAACAAAACAATTTAACTTAGAAATAAAGCAATATCCAAAACACACTGGGTAAACACACTGCTCCATCCAAATTCGACACACACCTCCTTCCCAGTTGCTCAAAAAAACAATTTAACTTAGAAATAAAGCAATATCCAAAACACACTGCTCCATCCAAATTCGACACACACCTCCTTCCCAGTTGCTCAAGAAAGCTTTTCCCAAGTACTCTGGCTGGGCCCGATCAATACACCTCTCCTGGAACTCCTACTACATACACAAGAGTACAGACCATTCACTTAGGACTTATTTTCATTCACTGCCAGTTGTGTTTTACATCTGCTTATTCACTGACTTAAACACTGACTTAGTACCAACCACTGTAGAAAGGGTAAACTAGTACTGAGGAGCAAAGAAAGTACCTAAAACAGAGGCCACCTTCTGGGGCAGGTCAAGATCAATGATGCACATTGACAATGGGAGTCACAGAAGTATTCTAAGGGATCACTTCTGACAAAGGGGTGATAGAGATGACAGGAGTCTCAGAAGCAGCTGAGACTCTGGCTGGTCAGGCAGTAACTGGAAAGGACAGAGGCGTCCCAGAGCACGTGGTCCACAGACAGATCAAACTCGAAAATTTACAGCCAATGCTTACACTTTACCTGGTAAGTTAAAATATCATGCTTCATTTACAACCTGAGTGAATCAGAAGGTTTTCTAGTTACCTGATTAAACATGTAAAGTACTCTAGTGACGTCATTTGCATACTGACAGCGAGAGTAATCATCGTCGGCCCAAAAGCCGCCTCTGTCACACCTGCGCCAGGCCTTCCTCTCATCCTGTTGGTTCCCAGGATAGATCCCACTGCCATGCATGTTCCTGGTGCACTGCAGATAAGCAGTGATGCCTGCCAGTGTTCTGGGCCATCTACACAGGGAGAGACAAAATAGTCTAAGAAAACATAGAACACAATGATGATCAAGGACAGTCACAGCACAGGAAAAAGCAAGAACCGACTACCCATATCGGGTATACGATCACAGAAAATCAAGAAGAAACAAAACGCCTGGAGGAATAAAGAATACATTATTTTTAAAGTTAACATGCATGAATTTATTCAGTCTACCAGTTAAGTGAGCACATTTTGATACCATAATATAATAAAAACACTTTTTAAACTAATATTATAAAAACATACAAATGTTGCTATGAATGGGCAAGGAAATTCTTTCAGACCCAAGAAAATAGAAAATTAGTGCTATACATGGGCTTATGTTTCTATTTAATAAATGGCACTGCATCATTGGCTTATATAATAAGTAAGCATGCAGAAGAGCCTTCCTCAGGATAGCGTTTGGCCTTCTGCAGAAGTAGAGTTAGAAAGATGTGACAGGACCTGAGAAATGCCTGTTCTCAAAACCAACCCCTTCAGTGGCTGCTTGGGAGCTGGAGGGATTAATTCTAATTGCTAAGTATGACTCGCTGTGCCTAGACTGATCATCAGTAATAGTTTGTGCTGAACATCTGTCCTCCTCCAGCAGTCCAGGATTCTTCTGAACCTGCTAAGCAGAGAAAGCCTACGAAGACCAGCCCCCAATGACAGCCTTGGGTGCTGAGTCCCTTTGGTGGGGGTATCCTGACAGAATCACTGCGTAAGGGCTGCTTGCTGCCCTTTGGGTCTGCTGGAGAAGTGATTCTATGTCACCTTGTAGCAAGCATAAGAAAGCTTACCCAAAATTCTTCCAGAACCTGCCTGTGTCTTCCCCTTTATAATTTAACTATGGCCACACGGAGATCACGTTTCAGCTGTTAGTACAATTCCATTTTCATTTCCACGCATGAGGCTTTCTAACAAATTCCTGAACATCAATGTGGTCCAAAGACCTCCACTACAGCACAGCATTCAACAGAATTCCTGAGGGAAATGTTACTCACTATATCCAGGGCCACACAAACCTGCTGACATGGTTCACTGCCCCACGAGGCTGAGAGAAAGCTCTGGTATTTTAACTCTATTTCTTTAAAATTGGGAATGAAGTTGTGCATATTTAACAGAAGTGACAGCTTATGCATCACAGAGGAATTGCTGAGATGTATCAATCATATCAAAATAGAATGCATTGCCAAAAACTGCATGAACAAATCAAGCAACACTGTAACAAATGCTATCAATGCAGCAAGACTTTAATGCTGTAATACCTCGCCAAGTGCTGGATGATAAATGCTTCATTAATCGCTTAAATAATTAGTTTTTCTTCTATTTTTAAAACTGCGAAGCACTCTGAATAAAGCAGACAATCCACCATGAAAAATAAAGGTTACTGAATGTCTCAGATTAATATTTCACTTTCAAGTACAACAGTATATGCATAGATCATCGTTCAATGCACATGAAAGACTTATCCACTAACAATAATGAATGCTCACTGCCACATATGTTTTGTTGTTTAAAGAACAGCAAAAACAGCAATGAAGGAAGAGGTGAGCTAAAGATGTCACAATTGTTAACTTCTCCCCAGTTTGGAAAGATAAACACCAAGGGGTCTTTCTTACTCTGAAAAGGTCAGGGCAACAGCAAAGAAGCAGCCCACCAGAGACAGCACAAACTCTATTAAACAATTTTATACACCCTAAAAGAGCTGTGTATTTCCTTCTGTTTATATTAACTAAAAAATCTTTGAACATACAGGATATAAAATTAATAACGTATGAGGAGCTAAAGCAACTTTGAAAGCAAGGAAGGTTGTGAGAGAAGCTGTCCCTCTCATAAGTTCTAAGCCTTCTTTGAAAAATCTGAAGTTGACGGGCTTGGTGGCAAATGCCTTTAATCCCAGCACTTTGGAGGCAGAGGCAGGCAGATCTCTGTGAATTCAAGGCCAGCCTGGTCTACATAGTGAGTTCCAGGCCAGGTGGGGCTACAGGGAGACCCTATTTCAAAAAGACAAAGGAAAAGGAAAAAAAAAAAAAATATATATATATATATCCTTACTTAAAAGGCAACCCAGAGAGTGAAAGGAGATGTTTATAATATTAATTACTATTATACATGTTCAAAGGATGGACATAAAGAAGTC